ATACTGTATATCATGACCCCTCTGTCATGATATGTATCGTATCACCAAATTCTTGCCAATACACAGCCCTAGTTATTTTCACATTATTTTTTCTCTTTTTTCCATTTTGTATTGCAAACTTGTATCATTTGGAAAAACAAAAGGTAGAAGTCTTGGACAAAAGAGGGAAAAGATGACAGACAGTTTGAGCTGCATCTCATGAAAAACAATAGTATACGGAACCAGGGTTGCCAACGCCCTCTGGCATGGCACAATATTTATTAGATACAGTAATATTTAATAAAAATATGTGAGTTTTACAAGAGGCAAAAGGCTACCTGACCAAGCGTCAATATGTTGACGCGGGGGGGAGTGAGAATGCATTTATTTTTCTTTTATTAAACAAAGGGTACCAAAAATTTTGTCCATGTGTATAAATAATTAAAAATATACAGTATTTCCAACTCTTGAACCACTTTTTAGTTTCATTTGTCTAATGTGTTTTAAAGTTACTGATCAGGAAATTGTTCAGGAAAGTAAAGAGATGATTTAAAAAACAAACTTATTTGTTAACAATCCATGATCCAATGACCGACTACACACAACAAATTAATGCAAATTAGGATCTTAGTCATATCACATGGGTCCAGACTTAATATAAACATATTAGATGGATTTAGAGCTCATTTTCTAGCTGCTTCAGGTGGAGTAATTTGTAAAACAATTTCAAGATTTTCTGTCCTCCGTGCATTCATTTTTCAGCCATCATTGTGTAAGTACAACAGTGTCTCATTCTGTATGTTCTTTAACACCTATTCTTCTTGTATGTCTCTGCACATTTATGGGTTTAATATTAATTTATTGTCTTGAAATGTAGATGAAAGCAATTTTGCTCTAATTCATCTGTTAAAATAATTGTGTGGTTTACTTTGTCTTTTCTCTGTCCACCAAGCATTTTATTTATTTATTTATTTATTTTTTGTTTCAGACTTGTAGGATTAAGAATTTAGAAGTGCTCATTTATTTCCAAATCAGTGATGTGGTGTAACAAAGAGATATTATAGGTTGGAAATAAAGTAAATAGTGAAGGTGAAATAAATTCAGCATAACAGCTGCCACATTTAGAAACATTGCAACAGAATGTGGGTTAAAAAGATGGTTTCAACTTTTTCTTTTTTCTGTAAAAGAAACAACACACTGAACTCATCTCCATGAATTCTTCATCTTCTATCTCCAATGTGTCGAGCAGTCTGAGTAATCGAGACTCTGCCAGCACAGCTATGGCCAAAAATATCATCATCCTGGCTCTGGGCCTCAGCATCAACTACATCAACTGTGCTCTGATTCACACCTTCAGGAAACACCAGGTCTGTCTTTGCTGTCGCCATAAATCCTGTTATTGAAAATATTGTTTTTAATAAGTCTTTTGAGAATTCTTGCAGTCAAAAATTTTTGAAAAATAAAGAGGTTCACAATAACTGAGCAGCAATTTCAGCCGTTATGTTCATAATCCAATATAAAAACCTTTGAAGTAAAAAATGTGCTAGAAACGTTTTAGCCTTTGAAAAATCTCACAATTTTTTAGCAGGTTTTGTCATTCACTCTTTAATATTTGTAGAATTTAATTTTACTTTGAAGGCAACTAAATAAAACATTGTCCTGAAGGAATCTTATTCTACCTACAATATGTTTATTTTATGTGTTATTACTAACAGGTTTGGTGAAGGGACAGACCCAGGGCGCAGGCAGGTTTCAACAATATAACAAAAAGATTTATTTAAATAACAAAAAGAGGGCTGATGGCAGCAAACTTACAATTTAAATGGAGGGAACGCTCAGGCAGGGGATCAAGGAACAGAGCAGGAGACAGACACAACCGAACAGAAACAATTATCCGACAAAAGACTGAGACAGGACAGGGCTTAAATACACTGAAAACTAACTACTAAACAGAAAACACCTGAGGAGAAACACAAGGGTGTCAATCAAGGTAATGTGGGGCAGCTGGGCTGAGACACATTGGGGAAACATAGAAAACACTAGGAAAACCAAGGAGAATAAATACAGATTATGACAATTACTCACATTTGATTCATGATGATAAGCTTTAAATACAGTAGACGTTGCAGTTTTCCGCTTTTATTCTCTTTATAAAAACTAATTGTTTTAAAATGTGATGTCTAAAATTAACTATCATTGTTAATCATTCAAGTCTTTTATTCACAACCCAGCAATCCCTAAGTTTAGGGCTTAGAATAGTATTCAGCAATAATTTAAAAACAAATTATAAATGTGTGGTTAAATAAAAAAAAAAAACTTCATGTAACTTTGTGTTTGCTTCGCTGCAATTTCTGTTTTAAGATTTTTTTGTTTTTTTTTATCAAAGTTGAGGACAAAAATAACTTCAACATTAAAAAATAAAAAGAGTAATTTCTTCTGCTGTCTTTCAGGTGTTTTACATGAATCCTCGTTACATCCTGTTCATCCATCTGGTGGTGAACGATATGATCCAGCTCACAACCACAGTCAGCCTGTTTGTCATCAGTTATGTTTTCTATAAAATTAATRTTTCTGTTTGTTGCTTTATTATCACTTTTGCTGTTTTCACCACCCTAAACACCCCAATAAATTTAGCTGCAATGGCTGTGGAGCGCTACATCGCTGTGTGCTTCCCTCTGAGACACGCTGAGCTCTGCACCGTCAGACGAACTTATATTCTGATTGTCTGGATTTGGGTTTTGAGTTCTGTGTCAGTTATACCTGATATATTTCTCATTGTAGCTACAGAGCCTGCATGGCTGTTTTATTCCACAGTATTTTGTGACMGAGATAACCTGTTTCGACACCCAGTGAGTTTACAAAAGAGGGATATTTCATACATAATTTATTTAACWGGAGTTTGGCTCACTCTCTTCTTTACTTACTTCAAAATCTTCTTTGYTGCTAAAGCAGCTAATTCAGCTGATAGAAAAGCAAAAAAGGCCAGAAACACCATCCTGCTTCATGGCTTTCAGCTCATCTTATGTATGCTGACATACATCGCTCCCATGTTAAAAAATTCACTTGTATATTGGTTCCCGAAAGATTATATTCATGTTCTCTTTGTTTGGTATATCATCATCCAGGTTCTCCCCAGGTTTGTCAGTCCCATTGTATACGGACTACGAGACAATGKCTTTAAACAGCATTTAAGAAAATATCTGCTCTTTGGCATAAAAGCAGGAAACAAATCACTGCTCTCAGTAAAATTTGTAATGTTTTCTAGAATTCAAATTACACAGAAAATAGCAGAGATGTAAAGTAACTAAGTACAAATACTTTGTTACTGTACTTAAGTATAATTTTGTTGTATCTGTACTTAACTTGATTAAATACTATCCAGCCTACTTTTTACTTCTACTTCTTACATTTTCACACAATTATCTGTACTTTCTACTCCTTACATTTAAAAAAAAGACAGTAAGTAGAAAGTCGTTAATTTCATTTTTACTTCTTCTCATTCCAGCTTGTTATTGTAAAAAATAAAAACTATCGATATAAATTGTACCTCCTAGATAGAGTGAATTTAACGGTGGTTGAATGAGAAGTATAAATATATATAAAATTCTGATACCGTATTAGTTTGTACACAAACACACTCCAGCAGGACATAATCATTAAAATAAAAGGACTGTACTTAGGAAATATTTGTATTTCATGAATTATATTATTGCATTTGGCMGCAGTCCTCAGATAGATTTTCATTTTGGAGAAAAGATTAGAGCTCCCTTGATATAAGTATATAAACTGAAACAGCTGGACTAGTGTTTCCTAAATTTATCATAAATAAATTATTTTAAAATGATATTCACTTCTGCATTTTTTCGGGGGGAAGATCACCTCCTAATAAATGTCATTATGAAAAATCTAACTGCTCATTTTAAATCAATACTTTTACTTTGTTATGAAAATATTTATTGAACAAAGACAGAAATACGTGGTCCAAGAATGAAGGTACTCCATGAGATGATCAGCAGAGTTTTATTGCAACAACAGGAAACACAGAGAACAACCTGGCCTGTCTCTGCGTCTCTGCTTCTCTTAGTCACTGTCTCTGTAAAATCCAGGAGGGGGCATTCCACTTGCTGTCCTGTTGGGGTCCCMGAGTCCAAGAGATCCTCCGTTTGTGATGCTGGTTCTGCAGGTTGAAGTAGCTCCTCTCTCTCTGGTTCTGATTCAGCAGCAGTCTCTTTATCAGTAACTGGCACGCTGTGTTCCACTGATATCTCAGTTTTCTCCAGCTGTTCTTCAGACGTCAGCTGTTGTGGTTTGTCCTGTTGTTTGTTTCCAGCCGGAACTTGCTTCAGGAAACACTTCATATTTGAAGCAAGAAGCTGTGCTCCAGTTTGATTCAGAGTCATTCCATCAGACCTGAAGACATGCTTTCTTTCCCAGAAGAGATCAAAGTTATCCACAAAACTCACAGAGTGGTCAGCACAGGACTTTTCCAAAAACCCATTAAGAGCAAATAGTCTGCTGAACCTCTCGGCCCCTCCTCTGGCTGCAGGAATGGGCCCACTGATGAACACATCCACGTTGAGATTTTTAACTGCATTCAGCAGCAGAATAAAATCCTTCAGGATTTCTGACTAACACAACTAACATATCATAACTTCATCACTTCCTGTGTGAATGATGAGTGTATTCAAAGTTGGATACCCAGCTGTTATTTGCAGAACCTTCTCTGTCAGGTCAGACACTTTATCAGCAAAACTCAGAACTTTGACCTTTTTCTTGTTCCAGAAGCACCTGATCTCATTCACCATTTTATCTGTGATGATCAGCA